CAGGCTGGCCTTGAACTCACAGAGATCTGCCTGCCTCTGCCTCCTAATGCTGGGATTAAAGGCATGTGCCATCATGCCCTGCTTGGTTTATTTATTTTTAAAAATTCTTTTGTAGGGGCTGGAGAGATGGCTCAGCAGTTAAGAACACTGACTATTCTTGCAGAAGACCTGGGTTTGAATCCCAGCACCCACATGGCTGCTGGTAACTGTCTGTAACTCCAGTTCCAGGGGATCCGACAGCCTCTTCTGTTTTCCTCAGGCCTTGCACAACACTGGTGTACTTACCTACATGCAGGCAATACAGGCATACATATAAAATAAAAAAATTCTTTTGCAAATTGGGGGGTATGGAGAAGTAACTCAGCAGTTAAGAGCACTGGCTGCTCTTGCAGAGGACCCAGGTTCGATTCTCACACCCACATGGTGGCTAACAACCATCTGTACTTCCAGTTCCAGGGGAATCCAACACTCTTCTGACCTTGCATGACACGGGTGCACTTACATACAGACAATGCACTCATACACATAAAATGAAAATAACTAAATAAAATATTTTAAAAATTGTTTTTATTTGTATTTATGTTTGTGTGTGTATTTGTGAGTGCTGAGTATGTGCAGGTGCCCTCAGAGGCCAGAAGAGAGTGTCAAGTCCCCTGAGCTGGAGTTATAGCAGTTGTGAGCTGCCTGACTTGGATGCTGAGAACTGAACTCGAGTCTTCTGAAGAGCAGCAAGGTCTCTTAACCTCTGAGCCAGCTCTCCAGCTCCCTTTCTTTAGCTCAGGCTGGCCCTGAGCTCTCAGCAATCTTCTCTCATCCCCCAAGGGATGGAATTACAGGCATTGAGCCACCATGCTCATTAGTACCTATTACTTGTTAACATACTACATGACTCAATCATGCCTTTTCTACCTGTTCTCGATAAAACATCAACTCCATGAGGCCAGAGATCAGTGGGATTTATTCATGCATGTTTTACCAAAATAACAGGTACTCAGAAATTATGTTTTGAATAAATGGCTGTCTGGAAAAAAGTTAAGATAGAATTGTACAGGCAGACAGAAGAGAAAGCGAAGGGTAGACAGAAAGCACAGAGTTGAAAGGTGGGGGACATAACTCAGTGATAGAATACTTGCCTAGCATGCATGAGGTCCTGGGTTCCATTTCAGGCACCACAAAAGGGGTGGGAAGAAGAGAGAAGATAGAGGCTGAGAGCAGGGGGCAGATGTGGGGAGAAATTACCAGATATGGAGGAAAGGTAAGAGCAGAAAGAAAGAGGGGAAAAAAATTAACCAAGGGAGGAGGTAGAGGTCACCCTCACATGCATTTACCATCAGGAGCTCCGTCACACACGACTAGGTCAGCAGGGCAGCCCTCAAAATACTGGATGATCTCCTTGGCAGTGGAGAGCTGTAGAAAAAGGGAGATGAGTGGTCCCAGCGCCCCTCTGCTGCCCTCAGATCCCATCTGCCTATGGCCCTGACCCCAAAGCCTCTGGGCTAACCATGTTCTGAGGTTTTGCCTGTTGAAGACCTGGTTCCATCTCTGGGGATCCAGCCTCATTATCTTTTGTGGTCTTTGCAATACAACCTACTGGCTGTTTCTGCTGTTAATCTGTCTTTCTCGTTCTCTGTGTTTCCGATACTGGGGATAGAACCCAGTGCTTTGCTTATGCTATAAAAATGTTCTACACTAAGTTATACTTCCTCCTGCCCCCTCCCTTTTCCTTTTTTTTCTTAAAATATTTTTTAAAGAACATGTTTGCTCATTCATTCATTCATTCATTCATTCATCAGACCATCTCTTTTTTTATTTTGAGCGAGAGTCTCATCATGTAGCCCAGGCGCTGGTTCTAGACTTGTTATCCTCCACCCTCAGCCTCCGAGGTGCTAGTACCACACCCAGTTCCTTTCTCCCCCGCCCCTTTAAAAAATATTTATTTTGGCCGGGCATGGTGATGCATGCCTTTCTATCCCAGCACTCAGGAAGAAAAGACAGATCAATGTCTGTGTGTTTGACGAGGCCAGACCGGTCTACATAGCAAGTTTCAGGCCAGCCAGGGCTATACAGTGAGACCCTGTCTCAAAATTAAAAAAAAAAAAAATTTATTTCTGTCTTATGTGTATGTGTTTTTTCCTTCAAGTGTACCTAGTCTGTGTACAATGCCTATGAGTGAAAGGCCAAAAGAGGGTGACAGAGTCACCATGTGGGTGCTGGGACCCAAACCCAGTTCCTCTGCAAGAGTAGCAAGTACTCTTAACCACTGAGTCATCTCTCTAGGCCCTCTTTTCTCTATTTTATTGCTTTGTCTCTCTTCCACTTTCTATAGCTCCTATGTGGAGCCTTCACCCAGGATACACCTCAATACTTTCAGTTATGTTCTCACCTGAGTGATATCCCCCTGGATCTGTATCACACCTGGGAGAGGAGCCATAGCCTGCAAGTCCACAGCCACCACCTGGCCAGATTTTTGGCCTCTGTGGAAAGGTTGGCCCATGTTAGCACAGTTTTTACTCCCAGTCCTTCTTCCCAAGAGCCACCCTCCTGGAATCCCACTCACCCAATCTTCTGGCTCAGTACCTGGCTCCAGCTGCCTGGGGCTGCACATAGGTCAACTGCCCGTGTCACACCTGCACATACATAGTGATAATATACTGATCATCTGCACCTATCTTTCTAACCCAAGGACCCAGCAAAGTTCATCCTTCTCCCCTGCAGGCACATAGGGCCTATCCACTGCCATTGTGCCCATTTCCTGTAGGGTTTGTGACCTATCTTCTTCCCTGTCACCCTGCCCTGGATATTCTCTATGTTATCCCACCCACCACCTGGAGCTCTGCAGATCTAGCCTCTTCTCCACTCCCAGGTCATTTGGCACCTTGGAAGAGTTGGAATTCTTCATCAAGTTGAAGCAGCTTGAAGGCACTTCGAGCCCGCCAGCCCTTCTCCTTGGCCAGGCGGTAGTACACATCTCGTTTATCCTTTGATGTCCGTCCCATCTCACTCTGCTGGTAGGTAGTGGGCCAATGCTGTTCTGTATGAGTAAACACAGTAGCAGGGTGAATGAACTCATGTCACCTACACAACAGCTCACTTCAACAAAGGGAAGACTGAAGCCCTGATAGGCCACCAAAGACCCTATTACTGAACTCTTAGGCCCCTTTGATCATCACATAGGCCCTCATCATGTGGCTCTGAGATCCCACCACACATTCCACAGCTAACTTGATAGAGGGCCCACTACTGACCCTGCCCACCTCCCATCACTGTTACTGACACAGTAATCTCTGTGGCTCTCTCAACCATTCTCTGCCCATGTCATTTCTATTAACATCCCTTATTTCTAGTAACATCTCTTGACCATCTTTTTAGTTGTTTCCACTGTCTTTAGATTCACAGAACTCAATGAGCATCACCCTTAATTCATTGCTTTTCACATCCATTACCCTGACACTACCTCATTGTATCTCCCATGGCCTCATCTTTTATCTCTCTCTCTCTCTCTGTCTCTGTCGCTCTCTCTCTATTCTACAATCCCTCAATCCCTTAGATGATTAGGCATCCAGTAATTCATTACTACAACATTAATCTCCACTAATGCCGGGAGGATCATGACCTGTTAGGTCCCTATTATACTCTTAATTCCTCATTTATCAGCACCATTAACTCAGTCCTCCAACCAACCTCAAAGATCACACTAGTGGCCTCTAGTATCATTTCCACGAATACACACATTATCCCTGATGCTCACATTGCTCCTATTTCTTCCATCATTGCCCCCGCTAGTCCCTTCATCACTTTGCCTACCCATCTCTATTATTCTCTCCATAACCTTACCATTATCATTTCAATTACTATGCCCTTCATTAAAATGCTGAATAGCCTATCTCCAATCAACCCCTCAGGGATCACACTCTTATTCACCACCAACTCTACAATTCCTCCATTATTCAACCAGTAAGCAGACCCCACCAGTCCCCATGAATAACCCAATTAAAATACTACTAGTCACCAGGCATGGTGGTGCATGCCTTTAATCCCAGCACTCGGGAGGCAGAGGCAGGCGGACCTTTGTGAGTTTGAGGCCAGCCTGGTCTACATAGTGAGTTCCAGGACAGCTGGGGCTACAGGGAGACCCTGTCTCAAAAAAAAAAAAATACTATGAGCCTTTGCTGATTCCCCAGTGAACACCACACAACACTTCAAATAACTTAAAGGTGCACTCAGTCTTCCATTAACAACATCCCTCTGGCCACACCTCAAGTCTGTCTTCATGACCTTGACCCCATTAGGACCACCAGATCCCCTTCAAGGTGGCTCCATGGATATCAGGACAGTTATGCATGTTGCACCCCTCGAGTTCACCCAGCATTCTAGTCCCCTGCTGTAGGCAAGCTTCCTGGTGCTAGACTGCACTACACAGCTGCAGTGCTGAGAGTGCACGTCTCTCTATCCGGTATGTGAGGGACAGGGCAGTCATGCCTCCTGTCTGGGCCGGAATCCATGAACTCCGTGTCCTAGGACCTACCTTAACTCTCAGAGCCGGAGGAAGGACGCTGGGACCACCAGTTTCAGCAAGAATGCAAACCAGTGAGGAAAGGTAGAGCTCCAGTTGGTGTTCGGAACTGATCTGAATGCCTGTCGCACATGCCTAAATGTTACAGCAATGTGGCAAATTTGGCATTGTGAAACACAGAGGCTCCACTGAGGTCCGGACCAGGGCAGAACTTAGGACAGGAGTCTCGTCATCTTGTGTCGTCGTATCCGGGGCACAGGAACTGCTCCCGGCATCTAACCGGCAGGGGAATTTACGCTAAGCATGGCTGCTATAACGTCCCAAGACACGTGAACTGGCTCTTTGTTCCAAGGTCAAGGCCGAATACGAGCTCTCGGGTGGCTGAGGCAGGAAGATGAGTTCTTGGCCTGTCTGGGCTACATAGAGAGACTTTGTCTCGAGATAACACACACACATTTAAAAAGTAACACGAAAAAGGAAGCCAAAATTATTTACTCACCCACCTCTTTGGATCTTGGCGGTCTTTGAGACCACGTACTACATTTCCCAAGATGCACCGGGCATGACCACGCCCATTCACGTTATGGCTTGTGGGAAGGGAAATTACGAAACGGACATGACCCTGAGAACCAGGAAAGTGCATTGATTAAATGCGCTGATGAACACCAGGGTGTGCAATTTTGAATGGACCTTCCGTCGGTTGGTTGTGGTGCTTTCAGTTTTACCATCTCACAATTTTAGTCTCCCCATCTGGAAAATGGAATAGTCAGCGGTACAAAATCACAGCGTTACTGGGAGATTAGAAAGCTATGTATTCTTCCCTCCCTCCCTCCCTCCCTTCCTCCCTGGAACTTCTGGGGACACATCCAGGGCCTGGAGCGCACCTGGTAATGTGTGCCCCTCCCCCCTCTGCCCTTCCTTCCGACAGGGTCTCCCTGTAGCCCCAGCTGACTTGGAACTCATTATGTAGAACAGGCTGGCCTTGAACTCACAGAGATCCACCTGCCTCTGCCTCCCGAGTGCTACGATTAAAGGCATGCACCACCACGTCCGGCTACTTCTGTATTTTTTTAATTAAAAAATATTTTATGTGTATGAGTGTTATGCCTGCATGTATTTAAGTGCGCCCGCATCATGCAGTGCCTGCGGGGGTCAGAAGAGGGCGTGGGATCCCCTAGACCTGGAGTTACAGACGGTTGGTAGCTGTCATGTGGGTGCTGGGATTCAAACTCAGGTCTTCTGCAAGAACAGCCGGTGCTCTTAACCGCTGAGCCATCTCTCCAGCCGCAATTTATGTATTGTTAATGACAGGCTAGGTCTGGGACACGGGTTGCCTGCTTAACACTTTCTATGCACCAGAAAGAATGAGTGAATTTTTTATAAGATGGCAGGCTGCGGATCTAGGAAAGGATGATTAGAAAGGGATTGTGACCAATAGCATACTGTTCCTTTATATATATATATATATTTAAAACATTTGGTTTCTACTCACCTCTAAAAAGTATTATCTATGGGCCTGTGAGATGGCATAGTAGGTAAAGGAAGCTTGCAGCTCAACTTAACGACTTGTTTGATTCCTAGGATCCACGTGGTGGAAGGAGAGCGTGGACTCCCCCAAAGTTGTCTATTGACCTCTATGGGCACGTGCCGCCTGTCCGAATGAATGAATAAAAAAACAATTTTAAAAAGTACTTATGTCAGTGACCCAGTGCACAAAATACAGTTATGGAAACAGCATTTACCGTGTGTTAGGCATTTTTCTAAGTGCTTTCAGTGGTGTGCTGACTGATTTTGAAGCAGGGGAGGGGATGGGTCTATTTGTAACATTTTTCAGTTTCCATGGTTTACATACTATCATCTGGTCAGATTCTAAGTCACCCACGTGTAGTCTGTGAACACAAGTGCAGTAGTGTGTCATTATGTATTCATTCTAATGTACAGATAGTAGGAGTAAAGGGTGTCAAGAACATAAAAAATGAGTGAAATGCAGAAAGAAAATTAGGAATTTTGAGTATTACCTTTGAAAATCTAATCCACTTAATTGTATGTTCACAGGACCCCCCCCCCTTTCTCCACAGTTTCTAAGTAGGCCAAACTGCCTCCATGAACACTTCTCTACCTCCCAAGTACTGAGATTTCAGGTGCTCCCAACATGCATGGTTTACCATTTCTTTCTTTCTTTCTTTCTTTCTTTCTTTCTTTCTTTCTTTCTTTCTTTCTTTCTTTCTTTCTTTCTTTCTTTCTTTCTTTCTTCTTTTCTTTCTTTTTCTTTTCCTTTTTTTCTTTTTCTTTTTTTTTGAGACTGGATCTTACTACGTAGCCCTGGCAGGCCTTGAACTCACAGAGAGCTGCCTGTTTCTGCCTCCTGAATGCTGCAATTAATTAGCATTTCTTTTTTTCTTTTTTCTTTTTTCTTTTTTTGTTTTTTGTTTTGTTCTTTTGAGACAGGGTCTCCCTATAGCCCCAGCTGGCCTGGAACTCTCTATGTAGACCAGGCTGTCCTTGAACTCACACAGATCCTCCTGCCACCTGCCTCTGTCTCCCAAATACTGGGATTAAAGGCATGCACCACTACACCTGGCACAGCATTTCATTTTTAAAAAAAATATTTTATTTATTTATTTTTATTTTATGTGCACGAGCATATTGCCTGCATAATGTAAGTGCACCTGTGTTGTGCAATGCACAGGGAGGTCAGAAGATGTCAAATTCTCGTGGAACTGGAGTTATGGACAGTTGTTAGCTGCCATGTGGGTACTGGGAATCGAACCCTGGTCCTCTGTAAGAGCAACCAGTGCTCTTAACCACTGAGCCATGTCTCCAGCCCAGCATTTCATTTTTAACACTGGTTATTTAACTACCAGTTTACAAAATTCCTGAAAATTGAACAAACTTGCTTTTGAAAACCTGTAGAAATTACATCCAATATACTGCTGAATTCTTTTTTTTCCCCATTCAGTCCTCATAACATATAATTATCTCTGATTTACAAAAAAGGAAACTGAGGCAAGGAAGGATATATATATAATAAGTGTATAAACATACACAGTTTAACATAAATGTATAAGATTATGTAGAAATATGAGATTACATAGTAGTACTTGACGTCTTACAGTATTGCTTTTATGAAGTTTGGTACACCAGAGTTTGCTGAATATATGTTCATGATCGTAATATCTTCTTGGTCAACTGTTCCTTTGATCAGAATGAAGCGACCCTCTTTATCTCCTCTTCTGATTAGTTTTAGTTTGAAGTCTATTTTGTCAGCTATAAGAATTACAACTCCTGCTTGTTTCTGAGTACTATTTGCTTGGAATATTTTTTCCATCTTTTCACCTTAAGGTAGTGCCTGTCCTTAAAAGTGAGATGTGTGTTTCCACAGTTCTACCTTCATTTAGGTTCTTTCTGTTACCCCTTGGGTATAGTCATTCCTTTCTTCAGCTGTTTGTTTTGCTTCAGGAATTCTCTGAAGGGCTGGTTTTGTGGACATGAATTCTTTCAGCCTATTCATGTCATAGAAGAGTTTTCTTCCCCTTCAACTATTATAGACCTTTTAGCTGGGTAAATTATTCTGGGTTAGCATCTATGGTCATTTAGAACTGGGAATACTTTGGTCTAGGATCTTCTCGCTTTTATAGTTTGCACTGGAAAGTCAGCTGTAATTCTGTTGGGTTTTCCTTTATGTGTGACTTGTTTTTCCTTTAGAGCGTTCAGTATTCTGTTTGTTCTGTATGTTTAATGTTTTTACTATGATGTGCCATGGAGAGTTTCTTTTCCGGTCCTGTCTATTTGGTGTTCTATGTGCTTCTTGTATTTGTATGGACATGTCTTTCTTTAATTTTTGGAAATTTTCTTCTATAGTCCCATTGAAGATCTGGTCTATACTGTTATCCTGAGATTCTTCTCCTTCCTCTATGCCTATGATGTGTAAATTTGATATTTTTATGGTGTCACACATTTCCTGCGTATTCCATTCCTGTGTTTTCTTAAATTTTTCATAGTCTTTGCTTGAGTGGTCTAATTAGCCAACTTTATTGTCCAGGTTTGATATTCTGTTTTCCATTTCATTCATTCTGTTGGTGAGGCTTTCTCCTGTCATTTCTTATTGGCTTATTGAATGTCTCACTTCCTTCTTCATTTCAGCCTGAGTATTCTTCAGTATTTCTATCTCTTTTCTGAATTCATTCAGAAGTTTACCCCGTCTTCTTTCAGTTCTTTGATTTCTTTGTGTGTTCTTTAAATTCACTGAATCCTTTTATCATGTTTATAATTGTTCTTTTGGATTGCATGTCTTGTGTTATTTCTAGGGAGATTCTCACTGTACTACTCTTCAGGACTGTTGGTACTTGATGGGGACATATTATGTGGGTTTTTCATGTTATATTTTTTTGCTGTGACTTTGGCATGTGGGTTTCTTTTGTAGTTTCTGATTCTTGTGTGATACTCAGGCCTTCCTTTGTTGATTTTAGGTCTTTTTCTGTTTGTACACTTTATGTGCCTTTGTTGTTTACTTATTAGTATGAAAAGGTGGTTGATCTAGGTTTCAGGTTCTCTCTTTTGATTTCATATTGGAGGGGCCAGCCAGATAGCTTTAGATCTGCTGCTCAGGAGTTCCCACAGAGGTCCAAGTTGTATGAGGATCAGATGCTCTCAGGCTTCCTCCTAAAGCCTGGATCCCTCTAGTTAGCAGGCTTAGTACAGTTTGGGAGTCTTGCTAGGTAGAGGTAAGATTCAGGACTCTCAGGCAGTCAGGGATTGAGGCTGGCCTCAAGAATCCAGGACAAGCAGGGAAAGAGGTTGGTTTCAGGAATCCCAGGCAGGTTGGAGGTGGGGACAGCCAGGGATGAGGGCTGGTTTCAGGTATGCAAAGGTAAGTTGGGGGTAGGGACAGGCTGTGAGGGTTTTAGGGAACTAGACTGAAGAATTGCATTGGTCTGACTGCAAAGCATCAAGAATCAGCGAGAAATCTGGGCCAAGTGGGGAGTCCAGAGGTCTGGGGTGTCAAGAGAAGAAATGGGCCACTGCCCACACTAGAAGAAGAGGAAATGGGAGCTGGGAGGTTGAATCAGGTTGTGGGAGTCAAGGTGCAGTAGGCAGGGTCAAACTTACCAGGGAAGGACTCTGGCCTCAGGAATACCAGGCAGGTTGGGGGTGGGACAGCCAGGGATGAAGGCTGGTCTCAGGTGTGCAATAGCGAGGTGGGGGAGGAGACAGGCTTTGAGGGCTCCAGGGGACTAGACTGAAGAATTGGATTGGTCTGGGTCCAAAGGATGAGGAAGCAGTGAGGAGTCTGGGCCAAGAGTATAGTCCAGCGGTCTGGGGTGCCAAGAGAAGAGGTGGGCCAGTGCCCACACTAAAAGGAGACTATATTTTTTTTGTATTGAATTGTTTATCACTTGAATGTAGGACTCTATTGATCCTTGTATAGGAATCCTGTGCCCTGCATGAGGACTAGGGTCATTATGCCCAGGAGATTTTTAAGGAATTCCATCAGATCATCATAATGATAGCATCATTTTTAAAGATTTTTATTCATTTTTTGTGCATTTAGTGCA